TTGTCTCCCATCTCAGTGTGTGCTCTCCTGAGTAATTTCGTAGCAGGGCTCCGTTGACAGCTTGGCGGGGACACGGCACTGGGAGACTTTGGAGTCACCCTGATAGCCAGGCAGGCGGAGGGAAGAAAGACCCTCTGCAGTGGTGTGCGTGAGTGAGCACATCGGAGGTACGGAAGAGACTGTGTCAGAAAGATCATTTCAAACTATTCTCCAACAAAAGGAATGAAACTCTTTGTGTTCCTTGTTAGTAAACGGAGCTATCATTTGTTAGGTATTGCACCGGCAGCCCAGGTGGTCAGGTGGCTAAGGTGCAGTGCTGCGAGCCAGGGTGGAGGTAACTCCCCAGAGCTGAGTGACTTAGAAGAAAGACTTGGTGAACTATTGCCAGAAGAACCGGCGTGGAAACCCCGTGGAACACAGCTCTGGGGCACACACACAGGTGGTGTGCAGATGGCGCCTGCTTCGTGTGTTGGATCAAGTAATCACTGATCTCATTTGACTCGGAGAGCATCACACCCTGGTGGTTCCATAGGTTCCCAGGGTTCCTGGTGGCATAGTGGATCCCTCACTGGGCTGCCAACCACAAGGTCAGCAGTTCAAACCCGCCAGCTTCTCGGTGGAGGAATGATCAGATTTTCTCCTTGAAACCCCCAAGGTCATTTCCACTCTGCCCTTTAGGGCTGCTGAATCGGAATCAGCTGTGGATTATCAGTCAGGTTGGCTTGTGTTTTTGTTCCATCTATTTTGGTTTTTAAAGTTACTTGGAGATGCCTTGAGACGTAATTACAACATCTGGACGCTCTCGTCTACGTGACTGGGAGGGAAGCAGGCTTGCGTGGAAAGGACCGGCCTCCAGAAGTCAGCGGGGCCAGACTCCCCATTGTCATTGAGAGGGACATCATGGGACAGCACCCAGTTCAAGAAGCATGGCTCTTTGATGCCGAGTGCATTCTGCCGTAACACTGTCCTCACTCCTTCAAGGATATGCGAGTGCTTTGATCATGGAAGCAAAAGGCGATTTGAAGGCAATTTTAAGTCTGTATTTGTTCTAAAGGCTACCTAGGGAGGCATCATAGGCCCTGGGGTGTACAATTCCCAGCCTAGTCTATGAGACCAATAAATTGTCAGTTGACTCACCTCGTCAGACAGAAGACAAGGGAGAATCACTTCCCCTCAGCCAGTGTTTTCCACAGAGCAGCTTCTGAAAAAGTCAAGTTGTTGTCTAGTGTTTAATGGGTGTTTTGTACCTTCTAGTCTCTCCATG